ACTGGTACCTACTCAGGACCAGTGCCCTGCGGAAGAATTTAAGGAGTTTTCTTACTTGGACAGAGATGAGGTCTCTCCCCAGGGAGCACAAGGGAGAATACTCCACCTGGATCCAGTAGAACACTCGTACTTGCTGGTTGAGGATGAGCAGCTGGTTCTGAAAGCATTTCGCCTGTTTCACCGCATTCCTTCCTTTGGCTTTGTGGTGGAAGAGAAGCCCCGGACCGGTAAACTCGATGTACAGAAACTGAAAGACCTTGGTAACTACTTTGACTTATTTTTCCTCCTTTTAAATGCCTGAAGGCATGTGTTCAAGCTGAGCAGCGACTCCATTTTTCAGCAGATGTAACAAAACTGGGTTCACGGGCAGTTGAGATCTTTTTATGACCGCCTTTCTAGGGCTTCTAGCAAATCAGAGCTGCTGCATCCCTCCGTAATCCATTTTAATTCAATTTTCCGTTTCCTATTAAGCACATTTTAGTACTTCATGCCGATGCAGCAGTGTGTAACACTGGTGCTGGTTAATATTGGAGACCAGTCTCATACTGGGAAGACCAAACAAGGTCGGAGCTTAAAGTTCAAAAAGCCCAACGTGGCTTTCAGGGGAATGTATGGCCAGTGTGTTTGCACGACTTTATTGACTTTGATATGAAGAGCATAGCTTTTCCTCAAACACGCTTCCTGCTAATGTTACAAGCTTTTTATTTGTATGAAGGATGTGAAATACCGATTGATATTTATATTGAGGTTGTATTTTTTTTCTGTGAGACAGGTCTATATATAGCGTGTCTCCAGTGGTATTTTTCTTTTGAAACCTGACATTCATCATAACAACTTGTGGGATCTTTTGCCTTTATTTACCAGGAGTTCAACCAGGTCCTTTATATGGGAAACTGAAAAACGGAACTGCAGTTGTTCTAGAAAATGGAGTAACGATTTCTCCTTCTGACGTCTTGGAAGACCCTATTCCTGGAAGAAAAATTTGCATTTTGGGGGATTGTTCAGGGGTGGTTGGAGATGCAGCCGTGAAGCTCTGCTGTGAAGCAGATGTACTGATCCATGAAGCCACGCTGGACGATACCCAAGAGGAAAAGGCCAGAGAGCATGGCCATAGCACTCCAAAAATGGCGTCGGATTTCGCGAAACTGTGTAAAGTCAAGAAACTGGTTCTGACTCACTTCAGCCAGCGATACAAACCCGCCGCTCAGAGAGGCGAGGGAGATACGGACATCACTGAACTGAGGAGACAGGCAGAGTCAGTGTTAGACGGTCAAGAAGTAACACTAGCTGAGGATTTTATGACAATAGACATTCCGATGAAGAAGAAAAAGCAGCGGTGTTAGCAAGCTCTGTATGTTGGGTGGTGTTGGGTAGCGCTTGAAAACAACGGCAGGGTTTCTGCTGTCCACAGCAGTCCTCTCTGTGGCACACAGAGGACCGTGGCAAACTGGAGAGAGTAGCAGGTACAGTGAGCGTTGCTCTTGTAAAGCAAGGAAAAAAGGATACTCAGACATCTGGAACTTGGAATAAATTCGTAAGGGATGGTTTTGGTCACCTAGCCTCCCCAGAAGCCGAGTGTGTAGGCTTCACAGCCGTGGGGTTTTCCTCAGACCGCAGGTTCCTGGAGCAGAGCGCGGGATCGTTTGGCTTAGTGCGGCCCTCGGGAAGGTTTGTGTTCTGCACCCGGGATTTAAGATGTTACAAGCTTTTGAATAACATCTGTTTCAAACTTGTAAACAGTATTTTGTACCCGTTTGTCACCCAATTTACGTGCAAGAGGACTATTGCACTGCAACTAATAAAGTGTAACTCTGCCAAGTGTTTGTACCTGGAGGTGTTGCTGCGCTCGTGTTGAGGAGCTCTTACAATTCTCCCTTGAAGTTTTCGCATAAATAAATGTAGTTTAGGCTTCCTGTCAAAAACGAATCACTCTGAACAATTTGATTAATTTAAAGCTCTGATGTTTCCCCTGGCGTGAGTTCCTGAAAGCTGAAACACTTCATAGCTTTCTAATAGACGCTGAAAACGCTGGCGGGTTTAAGTACAGCTGCTGGAGTTTGTGCTTGTACTTTTGTTGAGTTGATGGTAAAACATTTGGAAAATGGATCGGGTTGGATATACCATTTCCCTCCCTCCTTTAAATGTAGAATAACAAAGCTCCACAAAACAGAAACTCCCACTCTTCAAAGGGCTCTCGCCCTTTACCTCTGGGTAATCCTCACCCAGCCCAAGCTGGTGAGATGTGGGAAGTTAAATGCTGCAGGTAATTTTTCTATACTCTTCACATTTTCTTCACTAAGACTATATTTGGCTATAATTAAGCCAAGGAGAGGTGTGTGATTTCCTAGGGTTTGACTAAACGGATTGAAAGGAACCCGATGCTTTATCCCCACCCTTCAAACAGACACTGCCTTGCCTGCGGTTACGGTAACTCCAAGCTGAATTACACCAACATTACTATGTCGTGCTTCCAGTAGGCTTCCAGTGTAGAGGAATTATTTGATTTCTTTAAAAAAAATAGATTGGGAAGAATTGCAAACTTGAAGAACATGACTTCTGCAGCAGACGCTGATCTCTCTTAAACATGGTGTAAAGCGGGCAGAGCGAGCAGGTCCTGCACGTTCTTTTCCCCCCATAAATTGTTTTTTGTTTTCTAACAGAAAAATTAATGGCAGGCGCAGAGATCTTGGTGTCACACTCTGCTTCGTGTAGTCACAAGCTGAGCAGACGCCAGCTATTCTGTTTCACACAGTAGAATAACTTTCTTCGTTGTCCTGACCTGCTCCGCTACGGCTGCTTCCACACTGGAACAACCAAAAAATTCTTATTTCTAAGCCATTCATGGTTGTGAAACGAAATTTAGGGAACAACTTCAAGGATTTGTGGAAATGCCACCTGCACATGACAAAATCGATGGATGGAAATAAACCCAAGGGACAATCCAAAAGCCTGTGCAACCAAAAATGTGCGCACCCACCGCTGCAGCTCATCTCCCCGCGGCGCCAGATCGTGCTGGTCCAGAACTGGGTTATCCACCCCAGCGGTAAAGATGTTTTTGCATTCGTGTGGTTAGTCAATCCCTGTGAATTCAGGAATAGCTTCGGTTCCCGTTCAGATGACGGAGGGGGTGGGTAGGTGGGGGAGATGGCACAGGCTCCTGGCGTGGAGGGAGCCTCGCTCCTCTGTGCCCCGTGGTCCCGGTGCCCCCATGGTCTGGCACAGCGTACGGTCCAGTGTTTGCCTGTCAATAACCACCGGTTCCTGCCAGCCTGGAAGAAAACTGCCTGCTGGGCTTCATTTTCAGTTGAATTACTGCGTGAAGCCATCTTGCTGCACGGCTCGTCCAAGGGCTGAATGAAGGAGGGTGTGGAAGTGCTTGGCTGAAACTGGGGAGCTGCTTGGGACCCCCCACGTGAGCTGATAACGTTGGGTCAGTCCTACCGTGCAGCTACATCCTAAATAGGTAGGATCTAAATCCTGGATAAGAACAGATAAAGGAGA